CGTTTTCAGCCGAAAAAAATTACCATGTATAGTACGGCGTCTTTTGCCGAAAATAACGGCCATGTATAGTAAGGCGTTTTTTACCGAAAAAAATGGCCATGTATAGTAAGGCGTTTTTTGCCGAAAAAACGACCATGTATAGTAAGGCGTTTTTTGCCGAAAATAACGACCATGTACAGGAAGGCGTTTTTAGCCGAAAAAAACGACCATGTATAGTAAGGCTTTTTTAATCGAAAAAATGTCCATGTATAGGAAGGCGTTTTTAGACGAAAAAAACGACCACGTATAGTAAGGCGTTTTCAGCCGAAAAAAATTACCATGTATAGTACGGCGTCTTTTGCCGAAAATAACGGCCATGTATAGTAAGGCGTTTTTTACCGAAAAAAATGGCCATGTATAGTAAGGCGTTTTTTGCCGAAAAAACGACCATGTATAGTAAGGCGTTTTTTGCCGAAAATAACGACCATGTACAGGAAGGCGTTTTTAGCCGAAAAAAACGACCATGTATAGTAAGGCTTTTTTAATCGAAAAAATGTCCATGTATAGGAAGGCGTTTTTAGACGAAAAAAACGACCACGTATAGTAAGGCGTTTTCAGCCGAAAAAAATTACCATGTATAGTACGGCGTCTTTTGCCGAAAATAACGGCCATGTATAGTAAGGCGTTTTTTACCGAAAAAAATGGCCATGTATAGTAAGGCGTTTTTTGCCGAAAAAACGACCATGTATAGTAAGGCGTTTTTTGCCGAAAATAACGACCATGTACAGGAAGGCGTTTTTAGCCGAAAAAAACGACCATGTATAGTAAGGCTTTTTTAATCGAAAAAATGTCCATGTATAGGAAGGCGTTTTTAGACGAAAAAAACGACCACGTATAGTAAGGCGTTTTCAGCCGAAAAAAATTACCATGTATAGTACGGCGTCTTTTGCCGAAAATAACGGCCATGTATAGTAAGGCGTTTTTTACCGAAAAAAATGGCCATGTATAGTAAGGCGTTTTTTGCCGAAAAAACGACCATGTATAGTAAGGCGTTTTTTGCCGAAAATAACGACCATGTACAGGAAGGCGTTTTTAGCCGAAAAAAACGACCATGTATAGTAAGGCTTTTTTAATCGAAAAAATGTCCATGTATAGGAAGGCGTTTTTAGACGAAAAAAACGACCACGTATAGTAAGGCGTTTTCAGCCGAAAAAAATTACCATGTATAGTACGGCGTCTTTTGCCGAAAATAACGGCCATGTATAGTAAGGCGTTTTTTACCGAAAAAAATGGCCATGTATAGTAAGGCGTTTTTTGCCGAAAAAACGACCATGTATAGTAAGGCGTTTTTTGCCGAAAATAACGACCATGTACAGGAAGGCGTTTTTAGCCGAAAAAAACGACCATGTATAGTCAGGCGTTTTTCGCCGAAAAAAACGACCATGTATACGAAGGCGTATTTAGCCAAAAAAAACGACCATGTATAGTAAGGCAATTTTGGCCGAAAAAAACGACCATGTATAGTCAGGCTTTTTTCGCCGTTTTTGGTCGGAAAATACGATCATGTATAGTAAGGTATCTTTAGCCGAAAAAAATGACCATATATAGTAAGGCATTTTTAGCCGAAAAAACAACCATGTATAGTAAGGCGTTTTAACCCGAAAAAAACGACCATGTATAGTAAGGCAATTTTGGCCGAAAAAACGACCATGTATAGTAAGGCAATTTTGGCCGAAAAAACGACCATGTATAGTAAGGCAATTTTGGCCGAAAAAACGACCATGTATAGTAAGGCAATTTTGGCCGAAAAAACGACCATGTATAGTAAGGCAATTTTGGCCGAAAAAACGACCATGTATAGTAAGGCAATTTTGGCCGAAAAAACGACCATGTATAGTAAGGCAATTTTGGCCGAAAAAACGACCATGTATAGTAAGGCAATTTTGGCCGAAAAAACGACCATGTATAGTAAGGCAATTTTGGCCGAAAAAACGACCATGTATAGTCAGGCGTTTTTAACCGAAAAAATGACCATGCATAGTAAGGCGTTTTTTTACCGAAAAAAACGACCATGTACAGTAAGGCGTTTTTAACCGAAAAAAACAACCATTATAGTAAGGCGTTTTTGGCCAAAAAAAAACGACCATGTATAGTAAGGCGTTTTGTGAATTGTTCCTTGGTGTGAGTGTGAGCGCGAATCGTTGTGTGGAGAAGACGATCAGAAAACTGATGGCCACGCACATTTTTTAGCATATACAGGTAGGCCATCATCGAACACCTGCACCTCTGCAGCGCGGGACCAACGAACTTACCATTCAACTACCAGGCAGGGAATGAATGCTTTTCTTGTTCCTCAGTCTGAGCGCGAATAGTTGCGCGGGGAAGAGCGGAAGAAAGTGTATAGCAATGCATGTTTTTGAGAACACACAGGAAGGCTGGAGAGAGAATCGAACCCTGCACCTCCGCAGTGCAAGGCTGACGAACGAACCATTCGATTACCAGTGAGTTGATGAACAAAAAATTCACATTGTCTGGAGATGTGATGTGAGCATGAATAGTTGTGCATCGAAGAGGATCAGAAAATGCACGGCTACAGACATTTTTGAGAACACACACGAAGGTCGGAGCTGGATTCGAACCCTGCACCTCTGCAGGGAAATGCCAACGCACTTACCATTCGACTACGAGTCAGGTGATTAAAAAAAAACTTTACATTGTCTGTTGATGTGAGTTTGAGCCCGAACAGTTGTGAATGAGAAAATGTATGGCCACACACAGTTTTGAGAACACAGAAAGACAGAGACAGATTCGAACCGCACACCTCCACAGCGCAACACCAATGCACTAACCATTTGACTACCAGGCAAGTGCTGAACACTTTACAATGTCCCGAAATAAGACAATTTTTTGAAATGTGAGCCTTTGAGTGTGCAGGGATAGTAAGGCTTTTTTGTCAGTATTTTTCACAACAACAACAAAAAAAATGATCATGTAAAGTAAGGCGTTTTGCGCTGGAAAAAACGACCATGTAAAGTAAGGCGTTTTGGGCCGAAAAAAATGACCATGTATCGTAAGGCGTTTGTACAGCTAAAAAACGACCATATATAGTAAGCCGTTTTTCACAAGAAGAAAATGACCAAAGATGTTCAGGTGTTTTGAACCAAAAAAGACGACCATGTATAGGAAGGTGTTTTTAGCCAAAAAAACCCGACCATGTATAGTCAGACGTTTTTTGCCGAAAATAACGACCATGTATAGGAAGGCGTTTTTAGCCGAAAAAAATGACCATGTATAGTAAGGCGTTTTTAGCCAAAAAAACAACAACCATGTATATAGTAAGCCGTTTTTAGTCTAAAAAAAAAACAACCGCGTTCAGCCGAAAATAACGACCATGTATAGTAAGGCGTTTTGAGCCAAAAAAACGACCATGTATAGTAAGGCGTTTTTTGCCCAAAAAAAACGACCATGTATATAAGGCGTTTTTAACCGAAAAAGAACGACCGCGTCATGAGCTCAATCCTCCACAAATATGTTACGAAGACTGGAGATTTACTACAAGTTTTCAATTTTTGGTATTTTCCCACACTGTGCTGGACGGGACCTACTGAGGTCAGTAAGAACAAATTGAATCCCGGAAGTATGTTGTCCTAGCTGCACCCCCCTCCCCCCTGCTTTGACATGAAGCTTCCTCTGCTTTGGTAGCAACATCTTTACTCACAAGCAACATGTAAACACTGCGGAGGCTGCACACAGGCCACCAGACACGAAAAGCAACCCTTCTTGTTTGTGGATCACTGACTGTGTTTTTGTTCAAAAGCAACCACTCAGCACTGAGCTCTGATGTGGTTTGACTTTGTCCCGGTTGTGTGACAAACCCAAAAGATGTTGATCGCAATGACATTACAAAATGCAAAAATGTTGCAGGCTGTCGTCAGCCTGGGGATTCTTTTATCTACACAGATGTCTGTCTCCATTTTTAGAACCTGGGAAAGGGAATGGGGCCCAGTTGTAAATGATATGACTCCAGAGAATTGTCACAGGGTTGTGGAAGTGGTCCCATCTGAGCCGGCCAATCCACCCCCCACACATGTTCACATGCAAACATACATCTAGTGTCGGATGCGTACAAACGCTGTGTGGACAAAACCCAAGCGGTTGTCTCAAGTTACTAGATACTGTGGGAAGATTACTCTTGTACATTATTATACTTGCCCACGAAGACAGAGGCCATCGTAACAAATGTATTCCAAAATAGTGGCCCTAATTCATTGACAATCAGTAAAATGCCAATGTTATGAGTAGATCCTACCAAAGATCTGGCACGAAGTTGGAAAGACAACGTCTACGCATCCTGTTCAAATACCACGTTTTCGGGATATAAAAACATGAGAGCAGGATAAATCATTTCCACACGTTTTCCACCATTAAAAAACTACCTGAAGTGGATGAGACCCACCCAGCGTTTCGAAAGGCTCTGGATGTTGTGGGGCTGTCCTGGTTGACACGACTCTACAACATCACGTGGACATGTTGGACAGTGCCTCTGGATTGACAGCAGCTTTAGCAGGGAAGTCCAGAATTACCTCTCCCCCAGCCACTTCTTCCATCTCAAAGGGGGGGTCATGACTGAAAAAAAAAACAAGATCCTGGATATAAGTGGCCAAAATGACGTACCTCCGCAGGGTGTCTGAGCTCTCAGTGTGAGGGTGAGTCATCTGGGAGGGACTCCGAGCCGAGCCGCTGGGCTTCCATGTTGAGAGGAGCCAGATGAGGTGGCTCGGACATCTGATTCGGATGCCTTTAGGATGCCTCTCTAGTGAGGTGTTCTGGGCACGTCCTACAGTAATGCTGGAGAGATTATGTCCCCCCGCTGGACTGGGAATGCCTTGAAAACGTTTACAGAAGTTTATGTAGAGAGGGAAATCTGGGCTTCCCTGCTAAAGCTGTTGTCCCAACTACTCGATTGTCCGCAACTGTCACGTGGCCCAAATACATAAGTAAATAAATAAATCACAAAATGGTGAGAAATCATTTACTGCTGTTTTATTATGAAAAGCCTCGCTTGTCCATCTCAGTTGAGTTACATTCAAGTCTGCAAATCACATTGTCTCAATTCTTTCCCACTCAACACGTGTACCTTTGCTGCAATTGTAGGAATGACATACTGGTGTGGCATGTGGGCATTTTGACAAATACCTGAGGAGGATGTGGCTAACATATTCTTGAGCGTCACTCACAAAACAAGCAAAAAATAAAATTGAATTATCAAACAATAGAAAAACAATTGAAAAGGTAGACAGTACTTTGCAGGGAATCACACATACAAACAAAATACCACAAGGATTCTCTGAACATTGTAAACTCATTCAACACAAAACACTTCAAAAACAGTTGGAATTATGAATGGTAATTTCCATTGCTATACAAAAGAATGTATTTTATGGATTTTGTTGAGGGTGGATAAAGGCAAATATGTGAGGGGAAATAAGCTGCAAAAATATGAATCAAGCCGATCCATGGCAAAGTGGTAGATATTAAATTAACATTCTTGAAATTAAAAATTGTGTGGAAATTAACCTACTATTGTAAAAAAAAAAAGTTCAGGCTCAGCAATGTTGCTAACATGTTGATACTTGACACGAAAGTGGCACTTTTGTCATCTTTCCACATACATGTACGTACATATTCATTACCCCGAGTCATTTTGGCAAATGTTGATTTTCGGTGGCATTTCTTTCCTAAAAAGTTCTTCCTTTTCATGAAATCGCCCAGATCAATATGTCCATCACCACATTTTGCACAAACAAGGTTCTCATTCATGATCCTGCCCACCAAATGAACTTAACAGTCATAATTCACTTGCATGCAAACATTTTTTTCAGTCATCACAGCAGAGAGCTAGGTCATTCACAACAAGAAAAAAAGTGTCGATTTCAACAAAACACCCATGAAGTTAATGAGATTCTTCCATCCTCATTGGTGAGAACATTGGTCAACAATTCTTTTTTTTCGCCGATTACAAATCTTCCCTTGTTTTATTCTCGAGCACATAATTACATAATAATAATCTGCAATGTAGCAATATTTTGTAATACTTATGAATTCATAGTTCAATTAAGCAAGAGGTGGATTTTTTTCCTGAAACGTCATCGCTCAAAATTATAATATCACATAAAATATTGTGCCACAAAAAAAACAACCCCCCCCCAAAAAAAACCCCGACATATTTTTTGAAATCAGCGTCAAAAATACATTTAGGGACACATAAAGACATCCCATATTAAGATTTGCTGTTGACCAGAGTAATTTGACATGACTCTTCTGAATGAAAACAAAAAAATAGATGGACACAATCCAACCATTTTCCATAATATTGATTAAACAACATCCATAAACACAGTAACCCCACTGGATAATTCAATGTCTTCAATCTAACTTGTCTGAGGAGGAAACGCGAGTCCTCTGAGATCACAAGCATGGCAGAAAAGATGCTGTAAACTCCATCGAGGAAGGCCATGAGATTTAAACCCTAACCCTCAAAACTGTGCAAACCACACAACCACAGTGCTACTGTACAACACTATGATCGTGAAATTTGTTTCTGTTTCAGGTTACATTTGCATATTGCATAATGATATAATTTCCCCTTTCCTGGGATTAAATGTGGAAAAAAAATATTCAAGAAGGCAATTACTTTAAATGGCTATTTCAGGGTCACAGTGAAGCTGGAGTTTATACTGGTTGAAGGAAAAAAAAAAAAAAACTTTCCAGGGTTTGTAAAAATGTGGGAGTAGAGTTTTTGTGCCGCCTCAGAGGTAAACCTCGATGGTGTCGAAGATAATGCGGCGGCACAGCGGGCAGTTGTGTTGGTAGAAAGGCTGGTGCAGCAGGATGTCGGTGCAACCTCGACACAAGCACAGGTGCCTGCATGGCAGCAGCACCACTGTCTTGGCGCAATCGTGACAGATGACGCACATCTTGCGGTGCTCCTGCTCGTTCAGCAGCGTCAGCAGGTTCTCCGCCGGCGGCCTCCACAGTTTCTCGGCCTTCAGAGGTCTTACAGTGCTCGACGACGCCGACTGCTCCCGTTGGTGGTCCTCCGCCCTGCCGTCGGGCGGGTCCCGCCTGATCACCTCGCCATCGGGGTCACTGCCCGCTCGGTTCTGCCCGTGGAGCTGCATCCTCAGCGCCAAGCTCAACTGGCTGCTGTGACGAGACAGCTGCTGCCACATTCTTCTCTCCAGCAGGTAGAGGTGAAGCGACACCCGGTGCAGGTGTCGCATAACGCCGTGTATTAAACACAAGGTTGAATGAAGCGCCGTGGAAAGGGTCTGGAGTGCCGGGAAGGAGTTCACAAAAGCCATGAGTCTCCGCGACGCCTGCCTGGTGACTTCTGGGTTCAGGTAGGCGGTGGTCGTCAGCGCTATGCCGACGGTGAGCACCAGGCCGTATGTGTTGAGTATGAAGATGCTGACAAAGATGTGCACCAGCGAAGCCAGGAAGTCCAACGCCAGCTTGCAGGGGGACCACAGGAAGGCCGATGTGCCAATCAGGCTGCTATAGAGGAAGGTGATGGAGGTCAGTGTGAGCTCCAGCGCCATCTGCAGAGGGCTGGACACCGTCTGCCACACACTGAGCAGGGCCGAGTGCAGGTTGAGGGCGGCAATGAGGGCGTAGTTGACCGTCATGTTGACCAGGTAGACCAGTAGGCTAAGGGCTATGCCGCAGGCCTCCAGCAGCAACAGCAGCCCCCGGCAGAGCTGCTCCTTGCCGCGGAGCAGCATGTGCGTTAACAGGTAGCCAACCATCTTCAAGCTCTCCAGAACCCCCTCCAGAGAAAGCATGAGGCCGGCAGCCGCGCCTTGGGCGATGTGGGACATTGCCACTGCAGTGGAGAGCAAGAAGAGCGCCACCAAGTTGCACAGCTCCAGGATGCAGTAGACCATGAGTGCAGGCAGGTTGATAATAAAATGGGACACAGCCAGTATTGTGCGGACGGTGGTGTGGACGAGGAGGTAATTGACGTCCAGCATTAAACTGACTACATCGACGCATTTTCCGACAGTGGAAATAATAATGTTTACTGGTCCCATGGCACTGTGCACTCACTGTGTCCCTTCGTCAAAGTCCATGTTTGTTTGCATGCTCAGTTATATCTCATTCCGACCATTGCTTGCTCCTTTGTTGCTGCATCCTTTAAAAGAGGAGAGAGATTAATTTTATTTTCCCAATTTCTCTGAAGCAACGAGCTGCCAATACGAACGAACAACCGGATGTTTACTTTCAAAGACGAACCGAAGACTTCCGCCGCATTTACGAATTCCCTCTATTTTCTCCGTTCGTATTTGTGACCCGAAACTCGTCTAGTTCATGTAGTTACCTCATGCGGGAGTTGAAATGACCTGAAGAATTAAGAGAATAGCAGAGAAAACACTCACTGTTGACTTAAACGCGTTTTCCATCGACGAGGTGGACGCCATATTTGTCCTGGTCATGTGCTCTGGTTACTTCCGGGGTGTTGGTGTGCGCATGCGCAATATCCGCTCTGTCGTCCGTGACGGCCGCTAAAATAAGGACAGAATGTTATATTTGTGTGGTCAGTTTTTCATGACAAACTGGATTCGTGTGTTTTTAGGCATATTTTGGATGATAGCTAGTTAGTTAATTAGAATAGATAGATGTAAATATAATTTTTTAAACTTTTACAAGCACGACATATCTACAACATCAAAACAAAATAACTGATTTAAAATTCATTGTTTCTGTCATATATGATGTGTAAATTGGATATCAAGAGAAAAAACAATTTTGGCAGGGTGCTGAAGGTTGGTATTTCAAATAACATTGATGAATCACTTTTATTATAGCACGGGTTACATTTTGGACAGGACAACACACATTTTTTAAAAGTGCATATTTCTGTATTTTGTGAATGGATTATTGCAAATTTCTCAGGGAAGTGGGGACACAAGATGTCTCTGCTGTATCTGCACATTAATTAACAGTATTGTGATGTGTTTTTTCTTGTCATACCCATTATTTTGGTGCTGCTTTACTTTATCCATTTTCACCAACCTGTTAATCTTAACAGTATCGTTGGTATTTCCTTCCTCTCCTTAATCTTCATGTTGGACTGTTGTCTTCTTTTCAGAGGTGGTGGTGGCGGTGATGATGGTGATGATTATGATCTGATATGATCATGAGCTATCCAGTTCCAAACCTTTGGACACATGACGAATGGCATTTGTTTCAGCATCTCACACAACAGCGAGACACAGAGGCAATACATGCGGCTATAAAAGGTACTTTAGGCTTTGCTATGGAGCTTCTTGCTCCTTTTATGGTAGCAACCCCTATCTGGTGTATCAGCCAGACAGCCAGTCAGCTTCCTGTGTTTGTTTTGTGCAAGCTCAAATTGCTCCTTTCAAATGAACACTAAAAAATGGTTTCTGCTTCTACAGGGATTTCTTAAGTGCCAATGAAATATCATGTATCAGGTGCACATCCCAGAGGCACCCACTTTCACTGGCACTGTGGTCTTTGGTGGAAGATGATTGCATTTAGGTGCATTTCAGTGACGCAGCATCAGGAGCAAATGCGGGTTCAGTATCTTGCTCAAGGACACTTCCACATGGTCGCAATGGCCAGGGATCAAATCACCAACCTCTGGGTTGAGAAATGACCACTCCACCACCGAGCCATGCTGACCCAGGAATGACAATAAGTAGTCCAGAAAATGGATGGAGGGTATAATCAAGCAGGTATAAACATTTTGTTTTGTCATTCGCAGAGATCTCTGCAAAATACAGATCGCTCTCCTTGCCAACAGCTGAGACCACTACAGTTTTTGCTCCACTTTTATTATTTCACTCAAGCGGCGGCGAAACCGGGGCTTGCTCGCACCACAAATTTTGGTTGGGAAAAACAACCTGTCCTTGCTTGAATTGTGCCTGTTTTACTCAGGATAAACTCCAAATAAGACCTTGTCAAGTGAAGTTAGAGATTTTCTTTCTAAATATATTGTGCATGTTTGAAGATGAATTGCTGAAAAAGTATGCAAGCATTTATTTATTTATTATGTCGTTATTTATTGTATTCATTTCATCTTTTTCTGATTGTTTTTGGGTGTGGGCATGAGTCCCCCCCTCTCCCACGACATAAGAACTTCGTTTGCATCAGTGGTTCTCTGGCGCAATTGCCAGCTATTGAGCGAGTATGACTAACTGGTGGCTAGCGCCATTCGTTGCAGTGTGGAAAGCCCCCCACTGACCCGGTGGGATATATACAAACCATTAGAGGTTTTAACCAGATACATTTTTGTGACTTAAATATGGACAGGCAAGCAGACCCGTCCCCAGACCTCAGACAATGAAATGCATGAAGGGAGGGGGTTGGGGGGGGATTTGCTCATGGTTTTTCTGGTGTGACTCAGAAAGATATGAATAACATGACTAACACCGTGGCACTCATCCAGGAGGAATTCCTCTTTGATCGGCCTTTCTCGGGACCTTGAGCACGGCATGCATACATCTGCAGGATGTTGCTAATAGGAGCCGCGACTTCCTACTTGGTTTCTGTTCTATTTTGCATCCGTCCACCCAAGCCGTGAGATTTGATTCTGTCGCCGATTTACCACGGTGGGCACGTCACTCCATTAGTCCTTATTCCGTCATTATTTCAGGCCGGCACAATGTTCCTGTGGTCTGTGGGACCGAAAGGCATGTAACACTTTTTTTTTTTAAACTCAAGTCTGCTTGTGCTGCATATGCGGGTGACATAGTAAGTACGGTCCTGATACCGATTGGCTGTCACTGACGACGACGACCGACGGACTGGGCCAGCCTGAAATAATGACGGAATAATAACTGATGGAGTGACGTGATCACCACTGGCTGTTTTTTTAGAAAAATAAACTACATGAGATGAACAATAACAATCTGAATACACTTTATCAGACACAACTCTTGATCAACTAATAAATACACGTTTGATGTTTAGTTTGACAATACACTTCAAATGGGATGGAAGTCAGGTCTCAAAGCCACACTTTTCAGAAGTCATCAAAACAGATGAAAGCATTCAAAACAAGAGGAAAGCCCCCATGTAGATTGCATTAAAGCAGCTTTTCCCATATTAAGATGTGAGTGGGGCAATTATGAAGACTAACGCTGCCCACTCCATGAAATCACCATGGCGAAGCAAAGTTCACGTCTTGTCCTGTGCGTTGATCAAAGTGTCTCTTTGTCACTTTCATCGTTGTCATGACAGCGTATTGCAAAAATTCTCATTCCTCTCCCACTCCGAGTCCCCTCACCACACAGCAATAACTGGAAGCCTCCCGACATAGTCGGGCAGCAGAAGGAGCGGGGACAATAGGCGTCTCTCATGATGGGTGGACAACTCCCAGAAACGACTCCCTCAATGGCTTCGGAAAGAATGACTTCTTTTCCTCTCCTTCCTTCCTTCAGCCGCCTGCTTGGACCTTGAGCACAACACAGAGCCGCTGGTGAGGTGAACAGCAGCCATACTGTGAGATCATCGGTCACACTGAGGAGGCACGCATGCACGCACACACACACACACACACACGCGCACGCGCAGGTTTACGGTAAGGACAGTGACGACAGAGAAAGGGTTAAAACCCGCATGCATGACGACAGCATTCAAGATAATTACGCCTTAAGCCTTTCGGGGACAGCGGTTACGACAGTGGACAGCTTATCACGTTATCAGGTTACGGAGTGCACGAAAGAGTTAAAAACAATTGGATCAAAAATAACCAATTTGGGTTAATTTGAATTCAATTACCGGGTCAAAAAGCGAACCACTTGGGTCAACTTTCGTTTCACCAAAAGGAAATAAATTCATAATTAATCAAATGGAATGGATGGGACAGAATGGAAATTGTTGAAATTGTCGCAAATATTTCATGGAAAAATGTAAAAGAAGTTCCAACTTTATGAACAAGAGTAAATATTTTTTTCGTATTTGATGTTTCTTTCATTCCTTCTTTCTTTCTACCTGCTCTCCTGCAAAGGTCTTTACTTCCTTTCCTTCCCCTCTCCTTCATTACTTCTTTCACAACCATCTCCTGCGTAAAGTCAAGACATTGTATTCCAACTAAATGAACGTGAATGTCGAGTTTTCACATTTTCTTTCTTGGTTTGACTTTCATTGTCATTCCTTCCTTCCTTCCTTTGTTCTTTCTTCCTTTGTTTATCCTTACTTCCTTTCTTTTGGAGGAAATATCACAGGGCTGAAATTTAACAGGACACACTTTGGCGGTACTGCAGGAAGTACACTAAGAGAAAAAAAGTCCTGCGAGACGTTGGTCATTTAATCTCTAATGCAATGAAGGATTACTTGAAGATGTTTTAGGACCTCCGGCGTTGTGAGAGTTCAGGTTTCGTATGAACAAAACTGCGAGTTGACATGTTTCACGATGGAGGGATTCACGATGCTGAGACAGAGGTTCTTTCTAAACATGCGCTTGTTCTGTCTTATCCTGGGAACAGTTTAAGGGGTGGGGGCGTGGGGGGCGAGGGGTCTTTTCCTGCTTCTGTTTTCTCCATTCAGCCCCACGACATAAACTCACTGCCCCGTAAATTCCCACATGCCCTTTCCAGGATGTATCATATTCAATTTAGTAGAAAGGGGACTCTCATTTTGCAACTCATCCTCAAGGAATTTTAAGAGGCTTCTCTCAAAACAGTATTTCCGAATTGGCTATTTTTATTGACACGATCATGGTCACATTTCCTCTGCCACATCCTAGCTTGGCTGAACAATGCAGTTATTCAAAGAAAATGTTGTCATCTCAAACCGTAATTGCCGCGCTTTTCTCCAGGGTGAAAAATTAACGCATCAGTTTACACTGTTTTCACGCAAATAAACTAGAAATAAACATTGTTGTTTGCAGGTTCAGGTTTGAAAATACGCTTTACTGAGCAATATTTGGATCAAATAACCCATATTGTTTTAGTGTACGTAAAGCATGAGGGTCCAAAAATATTTTCTGCGCAGACGTGCAATACAAAGCACAATTAACATGACATCACGGGTGGATCAGAGAGCAAGAATGTCTTATCAGTATCAGCATCATATTTCCATCCAAACACATTTGTAAATATCTCCATGAGCTCTTCCTCTCCACTAGTTTTATGAGGGGAAACATGGATGCCATTCACAATCCCATTTACAAAAGACTGAGGGCAGTTTGACACACTTCAGTTCTCTGTTAAGAGTTGTCACAAAATAATATAGCATGACAATCTCCAATCCAGCGTGCAACAAAAAAGAATATTTATTTATTTTTCGTGTGTGTGATCCAAAAATAAAGTCAATCACAACGATCTAGTGCAGTCCTACACACACCAAACAGCAACTACAATAATACGGTAAACATTGCTAACTTTATTCCAAAGCTAAAACAACTGTGCTTTTTGGCGGCATTTAACTGTAACACTTTATTGCAGATCTTAATTTCCAATGTATAACATACCTTTAAAGCCATCATAGCACACCTTTTCCAATTTGATTGTTTGAAATTGTGGAGGACGCGTTAACCTTGTGAGGAGCAGCTAGCTAACAGTAACGTTAGCGCTTCTGATCCACTCGTTTCTAGCGATGTCGACACTCATTGAACAGAACATGAACAGCCAGACGGCTGGTCAAATGAGCTCATAATTCACATATTTATTTAGATATATCATTGATTATATATTATTTGAATAATTAATAACTGTAATGATGTGCCGTTACCCACCACCGAACCTTTTGTTTGTTAAAGATGCAACTATGTTATGAGGTTAAGACTATGTCAGTCATGGCCACGAGTCTCTTTTTTAAAGACGCAATGTTTTACACTGTTTTCACGCAAATAAACTAGAAATAAACATTGTTGTTTGCAGGTTCAGGTTTGAAAATACGCTTTACTGAGCAATATTTGGATCAAATAACCCATATTGTTTTAGTGTACGTAAAGCATGAGGGTCCAAAAATATTTTCTGCGCAGACGTGCAATACAAAGCACAATTAACATGACATCACGGGTGGATCAGAGAGCAAGAATGTCTTATCAGTATCAGCATCATATTTCCATCCAAACACATTTGTAAATATCTCCATGAGCTCTTCCTCTCCACTAGTTTTATGAGGGGAAACATGGATGCCATTCACAATCCCATTTACAAAAGACTGAGGGCAGTTTGACACACTTCAGTTCTCTGTTAAGAGTTGTCACAAAATCATATAGCATGACAATCTCCAATCCAGTGTGCAACAAAAAAAGAATATTTATTTTTTTGTGTGTGTGATCCAAAAATAAAGGCAATCACAACGATCTAGTGCAGTCCTACACACACCAAACAGCAACTACAATAATACGGTAAACATTGCTAACTTTATTCCAAAGCTAAAACAACTGTGCTTTTTGGCGGCATTTAACTGGAACTCTTGACTACAGACCTTAATTTCCAATGTATAACATAGCTTTAAAACCACCATAGCACACCTTTTCCAATTTGATTGTTTGAAATTGTGGAGGACGCGTTAACCTTGTTAGGAGCAGCTAGCTAACAGTAACGTTAGCGCTTCTGATCCACTCGTTTCTAGCGATGTCGACACTCATTGAACAGAACATGAACAGCCAGACGGCTGGTCAAATGAGCTCATAATTCACATATTTATTTAGGTATATCATTGATTATATATTATTAAAAGAATTAATTACTGTCATGATGTGCCGTAACCCACCACCGAACCTTTTGTTTGTTAAAGATGCAACTATGTTATTAGGTTAAGACTATGTCAGTCATGGCCACTAGTCTCTTTTAATGACGCAATACCTCTGAACAGTCCAGTATGAAACTCGTTTCTCAATTGAATGACTACTCTGTATTCAACATAAAAGGCAAAATAGATGCATCAGGTGGATGTTACTTAAGAGTCGACGTGTATCGGCAATGTCCCGGTTGCCCACTCCTCCATGAGAGTGACCAACAAAAGTGAACAAATATATTGTCACACTGACTGACAAGACAAAGCGTAGATTATACGCGCTGTTGCGGGGCCGCCTCATCACACATGCCACCCAGGCCAGATTAGTCTAGAGTCTATTTTGGTGATGGGTACGGGCCAACCACTTTGAACATTCGTCCCCTCGAAGAGGGCGCACACATCCACAGTGTGATGCTTTTGGCACAGGCAGAATCTCCCTGAAGCTCTTTCATGAACTCTTTGCCAACAAATCAAAACGGATACACGACAGGAATAGGGCGATACAAATGGCAGCAAAACAAATCCAATTTGTACAGAGGAAAACAAATGCTTTTGTAACACAAACTGGCCACTGGCAAAGTGGGCCTGTACTTTCTATAATCAAATCAAGTGTATCCGGGGGGGAAAAAATGCGTCATTACTTTCTCTCAAGCAGGTATTAGTCAAGAGCGTTAATGGTGCGGAAAGGGTGTAAACAAAACACCCGCCTCTGCCCCATCCCTTTAAAAGCAGCGGTGATCATCAGAGTGAAACTCCTTCAGAGTTACAGTAACTTGGATATGCCTGGCTGCTCCACGTGGAGCCATGCCCGTCCACTTGGCAGCCACATGTATCAGACACAGTTTTCCAGCACGGAAGGTTAGAGATCGACGTGCACCACACGTCTCACCATTCTTTCATCCGCGTCCAACTGGACCGACTCGGAAATTTCACACGATATCAAACAAAGTCACGAAGGAACGACTTCAGTGCCCAGATGGTGAGGTTTTACAACAGACTTTGCAGATTGTACACCACAGCGAGTCCCTTGGGTCTACTGATCTTTTTTTTTTTTTAATTTTAAACCGTGAAATGTTTGCGATGCAGGTTTGCAACACTTGTACACAAAGCTTGTTAGATCAGTACAGTAAGTAAAAAGGCAGGGTTGTGTGACCTGGTGACCAAAACATATTATATATACCATCCATCCCCTTTATCAGGTTAGTAAATGGTAGTCTATGTTGGAAGTAGAGTTCAGTTGTATTTAACTTTATTTGTTTTCAAACATTTATTAAACACTGCATCTTACAGACCAAACCAGTACCGTAATATGTTTGTGCATTTTCTACACTGTTAATTTGAAATAATATTTAAAAAAAGGATGGGAATTTGGAAAGAATGTTTTTTTTAAAAATATCTGATTTATAAATTAATTGAAAAAAAACCTGGTGGTTAATGGATTATTAAAATACTTGTCTGCGATTGGCTGCCCGAAGACAGCTGGGACAGGCTCCTGCACAACCCTCATGAGGATAAGCAGTTCGGATAACGGATGGATCAATATTAAAATAATCATGAGTGAGCAGCTCTAAAATGGGAAAATATCTAGCTAATCCATGTGATTGGTATTGGAATCCGTATTTTATTTTCTATATTTAACCTCGTTGTGCCTTAGATGCCAACAACGATAAATTGTTCGGCAGGTGTTGATCCGAATGTTTACTCTGTACTTCACAAAATGAACAAGACTCAGAACTCAAACTAAAAAACGGAAAACAAACAGTCAATATTCATAATGGGACCATTCTATTCGTTCAAAAACAAACATTTGTTGTAAAGACTGCAAAACCTACCGAGCAACCTCTCTACTGTGAATGTCTGACCTGTACCTTGTCAATGCAGACCCGGTTGCCTCGTACGGGCTGGGGAAGGCGAGGATTGTCTGAGGTTAATCTTCAAAAGACGAAACAAATATATAATTCAGGAGTTGTGCTCATAATTTTCGCAAGTCCTCGTTTCAGAGTTGCAAAGGGGACTTTGACAAACACTGTCTGCCTCACCTTCCTCACTGCCACCTGTTTAAAAGTCCCTGTGATGTGAGAAACGCAATTTGGCTTTACACACATGTCAGCTAGGACTTGTTTCAACTTACTATTGCAAAACACGGGCAATAAATACAGAGGGGCCTCAAGGGTAAAAATAGCTCCCTGGACACTCTGGAGGAGGTGGGCAACAGGAGGATGCTAGCTAAGCTAACAGCTAAGATGGACAGACCCTCCCAGCCCCTCCAGGCCACCTTGACAGCACTGAGCGGCTCCTTCAGCCAGAGATTGATACACCCGCGCCGCAAGACGGAGAGGTACCGACGCTTGTTGAGAGAGTGTGGGGTACACCCTGGATTTGTTGCCAGCCACTCACAGGGCACATATTGACAAATAATCATTCACAGTCCCATTCACACCAATGGAAAATTTACAGTCCCGAATGAAGCAAACATGCACGTTTTGGGACTATGGGAGGAAACCGGACTACCTGGAAAGAAGATGCAGAGTGCACCCAGAAAGGTCATTGTTGGCCAGCGGTCTTGTACTAGATGCGAAGCGTCACTTTGAACATTCTGCAAGTACAGAGTGAACAAACCAAAGTATTGGTCAAATTAGGCATTGATGATCCATGCCGCTGTCTGAGAATGTGTTTCGTAATATCAAACTGAGTCATATGTTATGCACTCTATTACAGTTTGGCAAACTGGACACGTATTCCATCAGCGAAAGCCAAAACCATGTTCACATACTCACATACTGTTTACCTGCCAAAAGACCAGCAGTGAGACAGAAAGAGAGAGTGGGAGGGGGGGAGAGAGAGAGAGAGAGAGACAGAGAGAGAGAGAGAGAGAGAGAGAGAGAGAGAGAGAGAGATGGCAAAGAGCAAGAGAGGTCAGCATTGCATACTTACTGTACTATAAATGATATGATGTCCTCTGGCAGGTGTTTTAACATAGTTTGTACTGCAGGCCTGCCCAATTCAGTCCCGTGTCCATATTAAGATCGGTATCCTGCATGGAGAGGGAGTTGTCCTGTGTTGATCAAGATGTAAAGTGCAGTTCTTGATGCTGTAGAGTGGGAGACAACAGGCAGAATTTTGTCCTTGCTCCTCATGTACACCATTTTTGGGCAGAGTGTTCAATAAGCCTGCCATGCATGTTTTTGGAATATGGGAGGAATCCGGAGTACCCGGAGAAAACCCACGCCGCCCCGGGGAGAACATGCAAACTCCACACAGGGAGGCCGGAGCTGGAATTGAACCCGGTACCTCTGCACTGTGAGGTCGACACGCTAACCACTGGCCCACCGGGCCGCCTCCAAAAACATGCATGGTTAATTAATTGAACACTCTAAATTGTCTTTCGGTGTGATTATGAGCGTGAATTGTTGTTTGTCTATATGTGCCCTGCATTTGGCTGGTAACCAGTTCAGGGTGTAGCCCGCCTACTGCCCATTGACAGCAGGGATAGGCTCCAGCATTGCCTGTGACCCTCGTGGGATAAACAGTTAGAAATCGTAATCGTAATAATTTATTTGAATATACAGTAATTATACTGATGGTCAATTTTCACCCGAATTTTAGCGCCCCCTAGAGTCCAAGGCGCCCTTAGCATCTGCCTATTTCACCTGATGGGCGAGCAGGCCCCGGATGTCTCAGGTGGATGTCCTGGGACACCAGCTCGTCGGCCCCACTCATTGCACGCGCATAGCGTGGAACCCCCAAGTATGATTTTTATTTTTATTTTTGGGCTACGTGTGACCACTAGTCTCAGCCCCCCCTGCATGGGTGCATCCTTCCTCCCTCAATGTGTGTACGTTTTCAGGACCACTCCATGCTACACCCTCCTCCTCCTCCTGCCTCTCTCACACGCACTTTCACATGCACATCAGACGGAACTCCACAGCACCGATCAACAAGCATGGACGCTCGGCACTCTGCCTGTCTGCTCGCCGGACTTGTGTTCCTCCTTCACGGCTTCACGGGTGAGTGCATCCGCTGCTCATCGCAGAGATAGGGAAAGTCTTTCTCCGAAAACAGTTAAAAGTAGACAGTGGGATATCCTATGGCTTTATAACACACACACACACACACACAAAAAACGATCAGCGGTTTGCCTGCAGAGAAACTTTTTAATGCAGGTTCTGTGTAAACTACACGTGACTCATTCTCTTGCTTAGAATAACTTTCTGTGGAAAAAAATAAATAAATCAAGAGTGCTGTAATAGTTGTGTTTACGCATGCTTGAACAAAATTGATCGTGCACAATCCTACAGTTGTAAAGTAAAGTTGATGTAACCTCTTAGTGGATGGACAGCGCATGATAACTTAGCATGATAACTTATCATAATATCTTTTTTTTTAAATGTAAAATATCCCCGACCCATGATTGAGCAGGTAAACTGGAAGAGGACGGATCATTCACTGTATAAAGTGGCTCCCATAAACTGGCTGCATGTATTTTTAGCGCTGCACAGAAGTTCTCTGCTTTCTGTCAGCTCTTATCTGACCCGAGTAGTACGTTGCGGTCGCATATCAGTGAAAGAAGTTCTCAGCGTGCATTGAGATGCATGTTTAAATTAATTATTTACATGACTTTTGAAGGGGGAAGTAACAAAGGTTTCCCGCGCGCATTACATTGGCTGCAAAAGGTTGAGCGTTTATTTTGAGGGCAGCGCGGCTTGAAACCACGGTGTTAACGACGACCGTGCGGCTTCGTTTCTGTCGTTGATTGACTTGTTTGTGTGTCACATGTCGTGGCTGCTTAATGCGGCCTCCGCCCATGACGAACCTTTCCTCTCTTTCAGTCTCGGACTTCCCTCCCGCCCCTTCTTATGCCCCTTCTTATGTCTTTGGCCGCCTTTCCTTACCTCCTCCATGCACATTGTGTTTGTTCATCTTCCGTTTCGGGTCAGCCTGACTATTATTCACAGGCTCTTACAAGCTAGCCCCGGGCGTCCCCCGCCCCCCCACACACACACACACACATACACAGTCACTTCCTGGACCTCACCCACCTCACTCGCGCCTATGCTGACCCAGAGTCCCCGATTACACCTGCATTTAACCGTTTTAACACAGTGGTTCATGTCATGTCAAGGAACTAAGTTAAAGTGAGAGGAGGAGTTTCATTTATACCTGAGGCCATATAGAAAGGTTGTACTCTGCCAGAGTATCTATCGAAGAGTCATCTTGTGGCATCAATCGGCAATCCAACACCTTTTTAGAGGTCAATTATAAGCGAGTTGTCGGTTTGAATCCCGCCTTGTCATGTGTCTTCGTGTCCTTGGCCGAGACAATTTCACCCATCCTGCCTCCAGTGTTGCTCACACGAGTGTACGGCTGGGTGTGAATGTTTAGTGGTGGTCGGAAGAGCCGTAGGCACATAATGGCAGCCACACTTCGGTCAATCTGCCCCAGGGTAGCAGGGCTGGCTACACAACTTAGTTCAACACCACCGGGGTGTGAACGTGTGAGTGCAGGGATGCATCAACATTGTGAAACATTTTTGAGGTGATATAAATCTGATACATTATTATGATTAACCGTTCGGCCATATTACCAGAATGAAAGTCATAATACTTGGTCGTTGATTTGCGTGGGTAAACAACCGGTTGCTTGGAGTCGGCTCAGGCATCTGGCACATCGAGCGAGTCACTGTGTGGGTCTATGCATGTCCACATGAGTCGCTCATCTTTTGTCTCCACCATGACATCAGGAGAAAGACAGCCGGGGGTGCTGAAGTACAGCAGTGACCCAGAACATATTCACTTCCTGTGACATGGGCCAATCAAGCGGGGCCAAAGTGCAGCCGCATTGGACTTGGCTCATGTCAAGAGCTTCGCTGTCTGCTCCTCGTGGTGACAATAAACGACTTTGTTCTGTCGCAGCATGTAAAATGGAAGCTGAACGGATCTGGCTGACGATCAGCACAGCGGAGCAGTGGAAGTCCATAAATCGAGATTCTACCAGAACATTTATCACTTAGTGAAGAGCTGCGCTTTCATTTGTCACCCTTGTTGGGAAAAGGTGCCGTGTGGAGGTTTTTTGTTGCTGTTGTTGTCAAACAAAACGGACACTTGGGCTGAGACACAAGCTCTCTCAATGTAGAATTGTTTTCCCCAGGAAACTAGAGATTTTTTTGTTGTTGTCGACTATAATGTGCTAAAAGTCTTGTCGAAGCTGATTAATCAATTCTGTCACTAATATTTTTAGCACAGGATAGTGGTGCCCAACTTTTTGGCACCATGGACTGGTTTTCACGTCAAGACATTTCGCTCTACCACCATGGCAGCAAATAAAAACAAATGTTGAAAAATAGCTAAATATAGATCCAATTCTGTTGTCAATTAAGTGCGTGTTGTCAATGTGTTATGAATAAAGTTCTCGTTAGCCCTCAGTTGTTGTGCCTGCATCATTGGACATAATATTGTGGAAATGACGAACGTTCGTTCGTCATTTCCACAATATTATGTGCCTGCATCATTGGACATAATATTGTGGAAATGACGAACGAACGTTCCCTTCGTTTCTCACCACCAGTGCCGCGGTCCGGCTCATTTCAAGAGTAGCTCTGATCAGAATAGCCGAAGCTAGCCAAGCTAATCACTATACTCGATGACAACCATCTTATTTTTGTCATTTCTGACCCACGTGGCTGTACAAAGACTTTGTCGCCTTGCTGGCTGGACATTTTGCTGCTCCTCAGAGCATACCTTTGTTTTATTGATCAATTTTATTCGAATATGAGGTAACTCCACTCAAACTATTGTATTAAAGTCCATGTCACGAACACTCTTAGGATTGTCGTTCCCCTTCATTTACCCTTGATACCTTTTCCATAAAGGCCTTTCTTCTGGGTTCTGATTGGCCGCAGTAGTCACACGGTGAGGGGTTCTAGCACCTCTTGTCACTTTGGCACACATTTGACAGTCTGCGTTCAATAAATTAAAAATAATATATACTGTCGTTTTCAATTCTGCTCTATCATAGTGAGCTGTTGCTCTTGCTCCGGCTTTCTGTTTTCCTGACTCGCAGAGATGAATTGTGGATTAATGCCGTTCACGGCAGTTGCTAAATATAACTCATTACTTCCAGGCATTTTAATCGCAGGATAAAGTCGGAGTCTTTTCAGTCACATCACGTGTGATTGAGTAATTGGGCCTATTACTGTACACTTTCAAGCAGATTCTTGTCTCGCGGAGCTGCGTGCTAAACAGTACGATTCTTTATTTGGCGTGAGCTTTGAGCCGTGTTGACATGATCTCATGCAACAGCGTCCTCCGTCCAACACTGTAACTCATGCGGGCCTCAAACCGCATCTGTCTCACCTTTAAAGGGCAGGCATTCTCGGAATAGTGAAACATGATACACAATAAGTTCTGACGTGAGATCAGCTCACTGAGTATTCAGATATAGTCGATAGTAGCAAAAGTCTTGGGAGATCGCTGTTGCTTTTCGGCGTTTTAGGTTAGTGTGACATTTTGGTCAAGTGTATGTGTTTCCATCTTTATGGGAAGTTTTGGTGGCAGCATTTTTTTCTCTTCGAGTTTGATTGCATCCCAGTGCACACAGTAAAATCCATGCAGTGGAAGCATGTATCGAGCCCTGACCTCAAACCCATCAAAAACATTTGGGTTCGTCCACAAGTTAACACTTTTTCCACGTTTAGTTCCTTGTGGGTATGATTAACCAGCGGTTCCAATACTTTTGTCCACATGCTGGATTGTCCGAGTGCTGATCTTCCAGAAAAAAACAAAAAACAAAAAACAATCGTAAAACTACCTATTGTGGGGTCGCACATCAACTGTGAAGGAACGTACTTCAGGCATATTGCATAAAAATCATTGATGGATGAAGATGTGATTTACTATCTGGTCCTTTTTGGCAACACTATTATAGCCTCAATTCAAAAGTACAAACAAATATAATCCTATTTTGTTTAACCTTACATTCATTTAAAGCGTGCCCAATAATTTGACATAATGAGTAAAAATAAAAATAAAAAGGTCATCAAGAAAATACAAGACAAACAACATGACTTGCCTTTGTTTTAGGTTTGTTAGTTTTTTTAAAACAGAATAACACAGTGTTTGCTCAGAAGTGATGTAGTGGTTTACCCACAAGGCACAGGTTTCCTTTTACAGTCTGATCCTTCCATTGCTGTGAATCTCGTCCATTATCACCATGACCAGGGTCAATACCAGGCAGCGCTGGAGGCTGATTGGTGGACACAGCTGCTTTCAGGACTTGTGCTGTTATCATCACTCTGCCGCGTACCTCTATTATTGCGTACGCATGCACCACTTTTAAACAGCTTTTAAACAATTCGGGTCTTGTTGAATGACGTGTTTACAGAAGCACTTGTTTTACACTTGCAGGGAGGAAGGAAGTTCCAAATGTGTTTTGTCTCCCGAAACAATTTAGTCGCCAAAAATGTCACTACTTCTTATGATAGTGTGCAAAAAGAGTAGTCGGTTTGAACGGAAGGGTTGATGCTCGGGTTGTAAAATGAAATCATAAAGGGAGGAAGGTTAATAATGGTTAAAAAAAAAGCAACTTTGCCAGCTTTCTCTATATGACATCATTAAATACAACGTCAAGAAATCGAAGTATTAATTATATTTAAGATCGCAGGACAAAATTAAAAATGACGGCTTGTATTTCAAAACAAACAAACAAACAAAAAAGTTGGGTCACTCACATCTAATGACACCACTGATGTTGAAATTTGCAAAAAAATGCAAATCAGTGGTCAAAAATGTACATTTTTTAACCTACTAATATTTGCATGGATGGCATTGGGATCAATTGCTCCCTTTTGTCGACAATGTAATACTAGCTGTATAAAGTGGATTAAAAGGCTGCCGGGCCTCTGTCGGGCCTGGCTGGTACCACTTTAAGCTCCATGCTGAGAGCAACAGCTGCACACAACTGCTGACTGTATAATGAACTGAACCTTAGAGTCACATTTTATGTTATCAAG